ATGATCCTGGTAAGGCGACCAGGTGAAACCGGTAGGGTCGATCGCCTGACGGAACTACGTTTCGTCTTTTGTTGCTTCCATGTTTTTATCCTAAGCAGTCGCGTTCGGGTTTATTCTTACGGCTTATTTTGTGTCCTTCCTCCTTCCTCTTCCCTCCTTCTCCCCTTCTTCCACTCATTGTCCTTATTTTGAAGTCTTGATGTCGAATGGTGGTCTTATCGAATGTCACTTTGATGCTTAACGCTTTGACGCTTAATGCACTTCTTCTCACGAAGTAACCGACGTAGAGATCGCACTACGATTGAGTGACTTCGAGTACAATTGTCGACTGACATTCACTAGCTACTATGATGGCGTCAAACGGTCAAAATGTACGGTTCAGTGGTAACTACTACAACTGTGGTCAACAGGGTCACATCTCTCGGTTCCGTTCCCTCCCGGATAGGAGATTGAATCCGTCACCTGTACCGAGTAATGCTTTAGTTCCGTTTCCGGCGCCAGCTGCACCGGCGGTTAATAATTTTCAGACCGGATTGTATACTGGACAGTACGGAGGAGGGAACGGTGGATATCTCAAGCAACGGGTATCTACCTTGGAAGATATTGTAGCGAAGATCAAAGTACGTCATGATGCAGATGAAGCCAAAGAGAAGACTGCCAAAGAAGAGGAAGAAAGGAAGCAACGGGAGAAAGTAGAAGATGAGAGAAGAGTTTGAGATAAAAAAGAATGTGAAGAATTGAATTCGGCACTATCGAAGGAGTTGTCTACGAAACTGGATGCAGTAGTTGGGGCGGTTGACAAGAACAATGAAGTGTCTAAGCTGAAGGAAGAAATTGAACGACTGAAGAGAGCACAGTGTGTGGCGGGGCCTTCAACCTCTGTCAGCAAGGCTTCCACAGAAGGAGAAACGGTGGAAAAGCTCAAGCAGCAGCACATGGAGATCCAATCAGCGACCAAGAGGAGATTTGCGGCTCTAGAGGAGGAGATAGCAAAACTAAGGAGACTACGTGAGGAGGTTGTGGCCGATGTCGAGGCATGGAAGAACGAGGCCCTTCGTCCGGGTAACAAACGTGGCAGTTTGGTCATTGGAGCTACTCCCGCTACGCATGCAAAGACAAGACCGAGAACGACTCCTGTCCACGTCACCAGTACCCAGAAGAAGGTCAACGAAAACCTTAAGGGAGTTGTGGATAGGCATGAAATGGAGGTTAATCTCTTGAAAGAGATGCGACTGATGGAACTCAACGGGGCGCGTGTTGCTGAACAGGAGTTGGAACGTGCCCAAGAGAAGCAGAAAGAAGATGAACTTGAACTGGAAAGATTAAGAGCGGAGATGAGCAGACTGGAGATGGAGAAGAAGTTTCGGTGTGGCGGCACTAACTTAAAGACCAAGCTAGACGAAGTGGCGGGCTGCTCCGCCAGGAAAACGGATAAAGGTAAGAAACCTGCGGGTTTGGTTCTGAGCAAGCGAGATCGGATACTGAGGGACGAGTGGAAGAACCTGAGGAACTTGACCAAGAAGGAGGTAATAGTGATCTGCGAGAAGGAGGGGATAAAATACTCCAAGTTGGAAATAACCAAAGAAGAAATTGCTAATATGCGTACCGAGAGGCTGATGGAACAAGAACAGGATGAAAATGGCGAAGCACGAGCGGTTACGATTCATGAGGTGAATGAAGACGGAGGGGAGGACTCAGGTAAGATTGAGGGCAGTGAATCTGCTGCTTTTTAGTATCTTACCCGGACGCGACCCTTCTTTGGAATATTGTCAATTTGTGTCGTAACGTTAGACTTCGTAGTAGCGAGTTCTTAAAGTGCAAGTCGATTAATGTGCTCCTATGTATTTCGGTATGTTTGTTAATTGCTGACGGACAGATCCCTTGGGGAGAGAAGCTTAAGGGACATGTGTCGAGTGTTGTGCATGGAGGGTTTGATGTCGGTAATGGAAATGGTCCTGTCGTTTATGCTCTGCTTTCGCCTTGGTGTCGGCATATGTATGTTGGTAGTACTAAGAGAGACATCTATACAAGGTGGGAAGAGCATGTCTATAGAACATGTCATGATAAAGTAATTGAGAGCAGTAGACGGAATGAGCGGCTTTACCGTTGGCTACGAAAATTTGGTACGCATAATTATGTGATTATACCTCTTGCTTTTTGTTCCGAGGATGACGTTCTGGAAGTTGAGAAGTTTTATATTTGGTTACTTACTCCGGTGCTTAATACCAGAGGAAGATCAAGGAAGTCAAAGAGACAAAGACCGGGTCTTCGAGAACGGTTGAGGGCAAAGAAAGCTCGTGGTGGGACTTCGAACAGACAGTTAACACCCTTGCGCACAACTGGTAAGTTCGTTAGTTTTCATTCTAGTGTTGGTTTGGTGTCTGTCAGTCTACTGAAGATATTGGATTACTGCAGGGTGAAGTATATTCATCATCTTGAAATTGTGTGCAAAGGGGGCGATATGTTAGTTGACCAATGGAAGGTGGTGCGTAGACTCTACGGAGGTTGTATGGTTAGCAGTGACCATGGACGTTCTGAGTTGCGACATGTCAGGGGATGGCTGAAGGGTAAAATGGTCTTGTCGATAGAATCTGTCGTGCCGTTTTTTAGCAAATCACTTGCTTTGAAAGGACCTTTGTCCGAATTGTTAAGTCAACCGTCTACACGAAAGGAATTACAAAACTGGGATTTTGACCGCCTTATTTATGCTTTTACGGCAGTTCGGACCTTTTCGGAGAAACGCTCCCGTTTTCGCCTCCGAATTTTGTTGTCAAGAGCCATCTCCAATAGGTTCGGGATTAAGGTACGGAGTCGGTTAATTGTCAAGTTGCTGTTTGATGAAAGTTTATGTAAAGCACGTGTTCGTAAGGTCTGTGCTGCTGTGATTTATTCATAATTTCCGTAGTTTTTTGAAATTGAAGGAATTTTCATGTCCTTATAGTGGTTGTGATCCCGCTCTTCCCCGGGTGGATAATCATGTGTCCATCCGTCTAAATGATTCTACTTTATTCCCTGATTGGATGAGGAACTCTAGGAATCTTCTTCGACCATCCCGATCCGGATCATTGACCGCACTTAGGAAACAGATCATCGTTGGTCGCTCTTCTCACCCATCTCTAGCTTTTCCAAACCATCTCGGATTGTCCAATGACTTATTGCGTAGTTGCTTTGTCAAACAAGGTTCTGCTGCAACGATGGCCGTTAATGAAGACGAATTGAGACCTTATCTGGATCTCCTGGATGGTTTGGTCTGCTGCCCGAAAGATCATAATATCGGCGATACCTTCGTTTGCTGTCCAGTCGTGTATGAGACTGGTATGAGGAATTTGTTTTTTGGAAATCCCGCTTTCCAATTGTGTGATAGTACGCTGGACGAGATCTTGGAGCTCTGTAGGGAATCGTATGATGATGCTAAGCTTGATGACCTCAGCAAATGGAAGAAGAATGGAAAACTGGGGAAGGCCTACTATATACCTAAACATAAGGACCCTAGCTGATGGACGAATGTTCAGCCACTGGAGGAAAGATTGTTGCTCGAGCAGTGAATACGTTACTTTGGAATTTGCCCAATAGTGAACACTTGAACTTGAGGAGTGCGGAAGATTTGGTGGAGCGCATTAATAAGGTCAAACGAGGACTAAAGAAGGAAGAGTCTTTGGTAGGAGCATGTTTCGATATCAAAGAGATGTTTTCAAACTTACCTCATAAGTCTATTCTCAGAGCACTTTCATGGGCAATTGACTATTAGTGTTGTCAGGGTGTTGCAGCAGTGGTTGTGAAGAAACACGGCAAAGGTGCCAAGTTGTTAAGAGGTAAACTTGAGGATGGGTGGAAACGGGTGACGTTTGACGTTCTAACGAGTTTTGTCGAATTCGAATTAAGTCACACTTTCGCACTGGCCGCGGGTAGATTATTACAGCAGACAATTGGAATTCCAATGGACAAATCGTCGAGCCCCGCTCTCGCGTGTCTTCTCTATTCCTTCAATGAGTTCAACTTTCTCAGCAGCTTAGGTACTGACCAGAAGTTTTTTAAGGGTTTTCGCTTAGTTGATGACGTCTCAGTTTTCGTTATCAGGAGTAAGAAGGATGCTGACAACGGGAAAGCGGATAGATTGATCGGTGATTTCAGCGGCTGTTACGATGATAATCTGACTTTGGAGAGGACGGATGACGACAATCATTGGGACTATCTAAGCTGTGTTTTGCATGTCTGCCAATCCAGCAATGGGGTGCAATGTGTACCAATAACAAAAAAAAAGAAGGGGGAACTTTGTGGAAACCTGTTGTTTCAAAACATCCAGGATTATCGGTCTTATTCCAGTCGGCAACAAGAAATGGCCGTCATTATTTCCCTTCTGCATCGAGCCAAGACGTATTCGACTAGGTATGGTCTAGAGCTACCCTTCCTGTTGTCCTTAAAAAACGAACTTTGGAAGAGAGGCTACCCCGATAATTACTTTGATAACGCCCTGGTGTTTTTTTTCCAACAAATTTGGTGGGGCGTGGGACGAGTGGCTTCGGATGCTGACCGGTTGGAAACAGTGGTCGCCAAGGATTACATGAATGTGGTCTACTTCCCGTCTTAGGGACTGTTGTAGTAATAGGTAAATAGATGACGAGGTGTGAAGGCTGCTATAAAGGGATGTGGGTCTGTTGTTGGTAGGATGATTGGTAATGAGGGGGTATGTGGCACGACAGCTAAGAAGTTGTGACATGCGATGTCGGTCAGACTTTGGTCCCGGCCAGTATTATGGTACGAGTAACTTGTGTTGGTTTGTCGATTATCACTGGGGGGTAGGCAGCGCGGTAACCAAGGAGAGGTGATGCGGGTTAGACTGCGTTCCTGACCAGTTTTTATTTTTTATTTTTTTTATTTTTTATCTTTTTATTTTTTAAGTACTAAAGGAAGTATCGAGAAGCGGCTACCGGTTTACTAACCGAGTTCCCTTCAATGAATGTAAGGCTGTTGAATACGGATCTTTTTTGAACCGATGTGGCTCTCGTCATTTTTTAGGGAGTCTACGTTCTAGATACGGTACTAGTGGGTTTGACTGGCCATGTATTTGGCATATTTTCGGTAGTTGGTTCATTGCAGTTCTCGAGTGTTGTTTTTCGGCAATAGCGTTTTGATGTTGGTTTTGAGCGCGGCAACAGGAATTTTTTGCGATTAGGTGTTTTTAGACTCCTTTTAGGATAGGCTTCTAGATGGACACAACTATATAAGCAATCATTAGTCTAAACACCGATCAAAGACCCATGATGATCCTGGTAAGGCGACCAGGTGAAACCGGTAGGGTCAATCGCCTGACGGAACTATGTTTCGTCTTTTGTTGCCTCCATGTTTTTATCCTAAGCAGTCACGTTCGGGTTTATTCTTACAGCTTATTTTGTGTCCTTCCTTCTTCCTCTTCCCTCCTTCTCCCCTTCTTCCACTCGCTGTCCTTATTTTGAAGTATTGATGTCGAATGGTGGTCTTGTCGAATGTCACTTTGATGCTTAACGCTTTGACGCTTAATGCACAGGGTCTGAGTCCCACTGGCAAAGATAATTAGATTTAACACGGGATGACATTGTGATTGTGGAGAGGTGCAGAAAATCGTGATTGATCCTACCACCTCCATGTCCAAACCGCCCATGGGCACTGGAGGAAAATGTGTTCAATAGTCTCCGAAATTTCTCTGGCCAGGAAGCTGTTTTTGGAGTGTTTACACTAGCAGGAAGCGAGCCCCCTTTGCTCAAGTCTGGTGCAGTCGTTGAGCCAGTTGGTCGATAAACAGTGGTCACCGTGGTTGATCTGCTACTGCAGTGAGGTGATTTTTGCCGACTTTGATTTGCCTCCTCCAAACCATGAGACCGATCGGAGCGATTCCCGGCTCACGTTCAGGTGTGACATCCACTGTGACCTGTTTGTAACCCGTTCTCTGAGGTCCATTCTTGGCTTTCGCATTTTGCCTTGACCGAGAGAGACCGTTGTTGTCACGAGTGGGTTCTCCCATCTCTGAGCTTGCGCGTCCAGACCCGGTCTGCCAGGTCGTAGGCAAGGCTGGCGAGGGGTATCTCTGGTCGATAGGCTCGCTCCCCACTGATCCTAATCCTGCTACCCGGATCCGGTCGAGCTGCGTTCAGTCCAGCCACTTCGCTGCTTCGGGGTCTCCCTTTCCCAGTTGATTGTTGGGTTTCTGGTTGAGGAGGTGATATTTGTAAACTAGCACAGTTCCATCCGGAAGACACTGCCTATTTGTTTACTGTTCCTTTTGATGCCAACCCAGTCGCTCTCCTCCAGTGTGCTACCCTTCCGCAAAATCCGAACACAGTCCAATGGAATCGAGAGAATAACTGTTTCTAAAGCTTTGTCAGTGCGGTGGCAGTGTGATGGCATACTAGCCACCATTGCTCCCCATTCCTCTTCTCTCCTCCTCCATCTCAAGCATGCAACAATGTCATCACAAGTGTAAGTGTGTAACGGTATGATGCTGGGCTGGTTTGTTCCCTGGACTCCTGGAGTGGAGTCAAGAACACACACACACACACACACACACACACACACCTTGCATTACATAAAAAGACAGACATGGAGTAATGAAAGATGAATACATTGGTCGCACAACCTTCAGCGGACATGACATGAAACTAATGAATACTATGAAATCAAATAGAATTACTACTCTCAAGAATATCGCGGAGGAAAGGGCACTGCAGTCGACCAATACATCACCGTCTTTGTGGCTCCACCGCCAATGCAACCCACGGGACTACGTGCACGATCATCCCGTGAACGTGCAGCGCA